TACGTGATAACATCCATCTGATCACAAATGTCATATCATTAATGCAAGCACTCAAACGACAAGGCCGACGGGTACTTATCAACTGGGTGCCAAGTCATGTGGGAATAATAGGAAATGACATTGCAGACGAAGCTGCAAAACTTGCAACTAAGAGAAGAAATGTAGACATTTACATACCACAGAGTCTATCACAGATTAAGAAAGTAATTAGAAACAGAGCAATGCAAAAGATGTACAGTGACCACAGTACATCAGTTGCAACATCAGGATCTGCGGGTTGGTACAAGAATACAACCAACTACGAACCACTTACTTTGATGAAAGGGAGCAGTAGAACAACAGAAGTACACTTACATCGTATCAGGCTTGGATACCCATGTGCATGGGAAATAAATAGGCTTACAGGTTCCGGAAGATCAGAGGAAATCTCAACACTGTGGGGAAATACCCGACAGACCACTGGAACATTATCTAACACAGTGCACAGTTACAACCACTGGAACCACTGGAAATGCACAACAGACCACTGGAACATTATCTAACACAGTGCACAGTTACAAACCCATTAAGATTTCAACTTAGATTCAACAGAGCAGAAGTTGTTAAACACATGGGACAAAATCTTACTGAAGCGACCATACGAGTCATAAATACTCAATTCTCCGCAAAAGTAAAACAGAAACAAGCAACACTTTGTGGGCCAGCCAGAGGCTAATTAGGGTCCGCGCAGGAATATCCCTGAAAAAAAGACGTCCTCTAACTTGTTCAGTATTTTAAAAGCCTCAATGAGATCCGCCCGGTCATGCCTGGTGTGCAGTGCCGTTAGCCCCGTGGCCTTCAGGCGTTCCTGATACGAGAGATGACTTAGCTCTGGAATGACTTTTGTTGCCTGGTGTTGCACCTTCTCCAGAGCAGCTGTGTCCTTCTGAAAATGAGGTCTCCATGTTTGGATACATTTTATTCCATCATTGATCATTTTTATTAAATTTGAACCTTGCTTCAGACAAGAATGTTGCATTTATTTACAATATACGTTAATGACAATATACGAGGAACTTATCCTTAATATGTCAGTTCAGGAAACATGAACTCGTTTAAGTACAAGGAATATGGCAAACAAGATACCCAGATAGTTACTCAGCCTTCCCACTCATCACAGGAGCTGCATCGCGGAACCTCAAGGCCAGGGGTACATATGTCTGGTTACATGGTCAAGCTGAGAGCCATCACACAGCTGCCGCTTGAGAACACCTCGACCCCGCCGTCTGCCGTCTGGGCGAGCGCTAATTCAAACTCTTCGTTTTCTCCTTTGAGAAGAGCCTGCCTTTCACAATCATTCAACAATTTTGCCGAAATCAGAGCAGCATTAGAAGGAAATCAAAAGGATGATGTTATATATTGTACACAGACTTTACAAAAGCATTTAATGAATGTGAAAACTTATAATCCCAAAATGAGGTTCAGATGAAGACAATGTTGGGTGAATTCTTGACAAAGAAAAACAGTAAATGAAACATAACTAGTCAGAACACAATGAAAAGCTCTGGACCCCAAAGGCACTTCACAGTTTATCAGGCAAACATCACTCATCGTAGAAGGAGAATGACACGTAAGGATATAGGATGATCTTGGATGACCTAGCGTTCAGTGAGATCATCAATGTGAGGAATACCAGTGAGGTATAAAGCAAATTTAGCATCAGCCAGGAAAATGGTAATGAGGATTGTGTGAATGTTAACATCCTGGGTTAACAACCATAGTGATTTTTCTTTTCACCTTTTTCTAGGCAAAAAAGTTTTTAAATCGAATAAATGTTACAGGGTGAACACAACAAATTACTTATAAGTTACTAAGACCGTCTTAAACACTCAAAATTATTCTCTGGAAAGGAGAAGAGTTACCACAAAACATATACATGGAAGATACTGGAAAGTCAGGTCCTAAACATGCGCAATAAAATTGCTTCCTGGAATGAAAGGTATGGTAGGAAGTACAGAATAAACCCGTTGACAAGTAAAGGAGCAATAACATCAGAGACCTACGGGTCTCTGATGGCCTTGCCCCTGCTGATCTTCAACCTTCTTCCGGTAATATTTTATATATATTTGGGGGAAAAAACTGGTGGAGAATTTTCAAGAGTCAATGAGATGAGTTTCTTTTAATGAGTCTCCTGTAGAAAGTGCCGGAACAACAGGGACGAAATGTGCATGTGTAGGCTTCCTGGTCACATCTTCTTGATCCAGGGATCACGAGCCAGGCTCGACTCCCGATGAACTTCGAGAGTTGAAGAACTCTCGAAGCCGATTACAGGTAAACTACATTTACTCATCCAGTGAGCGGTAAATTATTGTCTACCCCCAAACTGATCCTGTAAGCGGAAATTTATGCATCGCTTACTGATCCTGTGAGTAGTAATTTATTTTGCCCTGCGTATTTAACCTGTATGTGAAAATTTATTGTGCACTCGATACTCATCCTGTGAACGGCAGTTTATTGCACGCAGGAAAAGGTAGCACTGAGCATATGCAGCTGCAAGCACCCTACGTGCCAGATCCACACAACACAAACCGGACAGAAAACACGCTCTTCTAGCTAACTTAAATATAGAATCATACCAAGCAAATGGTCCCCACAGAATGAAGTTCAAGGATGGCCAAGACTTACCCGAGAAGCAGAAGCTCAGACCGTGCGGTTGGTTGACCAGGGAACCCTACGGTAGACAACCAGCGGTGTCCACATCAGCGACACTACTGGCGCGGACGGCTACGGAGAACTGAAACCCCGGCCTCCTACAGGCGGGAGGGAGGTGGGGTGAGGGCTAACTGGGCTCTCGCTAGTTTGGATCATTTGTTTAAATTGTTGACCAAACCACACACTAGAAAGTTTTCTGGCAATATTTCTGCCACGTTATTGTGACTCCTTGTCTGCATTTGTTTAAATTGTTTGGCGGTTTTGTGGATTCGTTTTTTACAAGACAGCATTGGTCTGTATTGGTTCGCTGGCGTTCTGGGGCCAGATTCACGAAGCAGTTACGCAAGTACTTACGAACGTGTATATCTTTCCTCAATCTTTGACGGCTTTGGTTACATTTATTAAACAGTTTACAAGCATGAAAACTTCACAATCAACTGTTGTTATTATTATAAACAGCCTTCTGGTGCTTCGGAGCTCATTAACTGTTTAATAATTGTAAACAAGGCCGCCAAAGACTGAGAAAAGATGAACAGGTTCGTAAGTCTTTGCGTAACGTCTTCGTGAATCTAGTCCCAGCTGGATACATTCCCGACGGGAATTCGGAGTGTTGCCCACTTTCTGCACCGCTCTGTTGTGGCTCTTGTCCTCGGTAGGCCAAACAGAACTCCACGGATGATGTGACCCAGTAGCTGGGAGCCTTAATTATCAGCGAGATAACTTCAGGGAACTACAGGGGTTTTCCCTCGAAGATCAGAGGCCTCGGGCACTTCACCTTGCGAATGTTCCCTGTTCATATTTTAGCTCATTTATGCTAATCTTGTTTTTCTTGTGATTGCCATTCCCAAACATAGGAGGAAAATATTGACTGAAAAAACTGGTGAATTATTTTTTAGGAAGAGGACATATAACAAGCGCTCAGAGTTAAATGACAATTCGCCACTTTTTTGCTATAAAGACGTTCTATTTAGTGGTGAGAAAGATGTTTAATTGGATGTCTTGTAGAATGATTAAGGAGAAAGTTTTCAGGATGTAATGGCTCTATTCTACGGTCTATCGTTGCTTTGGGACATAACCCGTCAGACTTAGGCTTCGAAGAGCCCAAATATGCTTCCATGCCAGCAATGATATTCTCAGTACAGTCGGGTTCGTTCTCGGCCCACAATCGAGAATTCCAGGTTCGAGTCCCGGGCGGGATAGAAATGGTTTTGGGCGCATTTCCTTTCACCTCATGCACCTGTCCACCTAGCAGTAACTATAGGTACCCGGGAGCTAGTCAGCTTGTTGTAGGTTACATTCTGGGGAAGGTCAGTAATTCGACACAGGGGAGGGGGGGGGGAGGAACCTCGAAATACGCTAAACATGTATACAGTATGTAAAAAATTGCTGCCTGTTCCCCGACACAATGAATTATTTGAATTATATACATTTTGCTTTTCGTTAGCCTTGATCAAGAGACACGGGGTGAGAATAGCTTGAGCTACCTCATCCCTTTGTGTGTATTTTACCTCAATAAACTTATTTCAATTTCAATTTCAATTTGATCAAGAGACGTGAACGTAATACCAATTTCTACTTCGGGCAAATTGTGCTAATGGACATTTAATTATAACCAATATAAGTACCTAATGAAGCTAGTTAATATTACCTCTGATATTTTTACTTTGTGCTGTTTGTCAGTGTCCAAGATGAGATCCCCTCAAGGGAATGGATTGGGAATAAGTACATCATTTGTGCTATTATCTACTCTCTATCCATGGTTAGGTTAGGTTAAGGTTACTTTAGGTTTAGTTTGGTTAGGTTAGCTTAGGTTTCATTACGTTATTACGATGTATTCTTGACGAAATATTTTATAAGGAATTGGAAAACTATTTCAGTGTGCCCTCGAATTTCGTTTGCAGAAAACAAATTTTTTTGAAGAAAACGTTTTCAGCATACACTTTTTATATATTAAACCATCGATTTGTATTATATAAAAGTTATAACTTGAGAATAATCTCTATTTAGGACAAAGGTTCACTTGCCAGTTTACATGCAGACTATTACTGGAACGGTAATATGCTTTCAGGCCATCACAAATATCTAGATAACTATCAAGTGGTTTGAGACTGGGTGTGGTTTCTCATGGTAATGGATTTGGTCTAAAGACGGGCTCAAAAATAAATACAAGACTGAATACAAGAGGAGTTTCAGAATTTACGACCTCACCAATGCTGGGTGTAGATAGACAGTATGTTATTTTCTCTCTATTCATAAGTAAAGCTTTGCTACACTGGATGTGTACATTAACACAGAGGATAATAATATATTTGTATTTCCTGATATTTATTGCCAAAATTACAAGTGTTGATAATTTTGGTTTCCTGAGACATTTATCTGGCATTTTATTACTACAACGAATCGGCTGATATCTGGATAGAAAGGTGATTCCCGAGTGTGTCAAGATATCTGTGACGCTCCATGGGCACGATCTTTATGCCAATGTGAATTTTCCTAACATTAGTGTAGTGACAAGTATAATTATTGTAGGCCTCGTTAAATATTTATGGTATCTAAGCTGTGAACATCACACAAATTGTTACAAGGTGCTCGCTAGGCTTTAGTTCTTCCTCTTCTCAGTTTTATCTTGCGTTTTATATTATAATTTAGATTGATTTTAGGATTATTCTCATAGTTATCAATATTTTGGACATTAGTTCATTATAGCCTCTGACAGTTTAATTGACATTCAGAGCGAAGAGCTCATGTGGGAAACACACACTATTTTTATACCTATTGACTGAGGATTAACTTCCGCTTATTATCAATTATATAAATATTCGAGGAAAGAACCGGTATTTTGGAGCATTAACAAACAGCTTTGGTAAGCATTCAATTTTTTATTTATTTATAATTTGTATCGTCCCTGTTTATTGAGATGGAAAACGTATTTCGCAATAGCTTGCCCTATTTTGTTACCATAATTTAATTATCAATAAAATTAAATAGGTTGTATACATTTTATGAAAACATATATCTAGTTTTACTGGGGCAATTATACCAGCCGTATCAAACGTTATACACTACTTATTGCTCGAAAAAAAATTGCGGAAGGAGCAAACTGAACTCCCATATAAAAGATGAAATCTAAAGTCTTTTAAACGTATTTTTATGCAGATGTTAACATTGAATTTAATTGAACAAATAATTTTTCATATATTCCCAAGATATCAAAATAAACTATTTCGATTGCTTACAACAAACGAGGAATCAAAACGATGACTTTATGATAATAAGCCGATGTATATAAGTATTTAGGTGTTGAGTAAGATATCCGATTACCTAATGCAGAAGCAAATAAGGATGGTATACATTTATAAGTGTCAGAAATGAATGCTAGAGTAGATTTTAGCGTCTACTGGCGCGGTGGGTAGACGTAGTAGTTGAACATACTTTCGAAGTGTTCGTGGTGAGCCGACTTGAGATGTGGTTCTCCGTTCTTGCGCACGAAGTCCTCGCAGTCCTCCAGCGTGGCCATGTTCTTCTCTACGCGTTCACCGAATCCGGATTTGTAGGAAGAATACCGCTGTTGGGAGACAATGAAGCCATTTGGTTAGTCCCTTCTGTCAATTTCGTATTGAGGTTAACTTCTGGAGGGTTATTAGAGAGAGAGGTCTCTCTTAGCCACACTTCTGGTGTGGCTAAGAGAGACCAGTGTGCCTTTGTTTACTGTGATACCTATGTTTTGTCCCTTCAGGAACGTAGACTTTACTTTTAATTGCTATTTGTAAGCCTTGTATCCTGCCATTTGTGGATTCAAGGGGGTTAACGTAAAATCGAATTGGTAAAGTTTTTGTTGGGGGTTTATTAGGGGGTTAATAAATCAGTACTACGGTTATATTGGAGTACTCTTTTACCCTGTTTAGAGTGGAGTTGGTTAATCATTCTAGACTGCAGACTTTGTAGGTCAAGTATTATTTGCTGGGAATTATCTTCCCTGGGGGCTGGACCTAACCTGACTCCACTATTTTAGAAACCCCTTGATCTTAGCTATTCATTGACCCTCACAGAGGAAGCACGAGTACGCCCATAACAGTCTCCCATTTAGTTAATTAGTTTAAAGTGTAATCAAATTGAGCAGTTTGAAGTTTAAGAGTACGCTGAAAATATAAAGTTTATGGTCACATATTTTACTAATTTATCATTAGAGAAGGGGGAAACTCACCTGCTGGATGGAGCGAGCGAAGCAGCCGTCAGAGATCAGGCGGGCAGCGTTCTTGAGGGCGCAAGCGAAGGTGTCCATGGCAAGGATGTGACCGTGGAAGAGGTCGCGGGGCTCGATGGACTCACGGCGTACGCGACCTCCAAGCGTGAACCCGCCCTGCTGCAGGCCTCCCTGTAACACCACCAACATCTTTCATATCTCGAAATAGTTACTGCCTATTATGGCTCTTCCACTGTGCTCGCATGTTATAATTGACAGAAGTGAACGTGGTTTATCGGAGTGCTACCTACCTGTTCGAGAACGCTCTTCAAGACATAGGTGGCACTGCGGATGTCGCGAGCGCAGATGTCTGAGGTAGAGTTGATCTCCGGGAAGCTGTCAGAGGCGTCGATACTTCCCAGCATGTTGTAGGCGGCAGCAATGTAGACGTCGTGTTCGTAGGGGCGACTCATGAGGCGGGAGAAGGCTGGCTTGATGTACAGCTTGTACTGCTTGTCCAGGTCGAAGTGTCGGAGCATGTGCATGGTGGCCATGGCGTCTGCCTCATACTGGTGACGGCGGGGATCAGCTGGCTTGGGCTGGATCAGCAGCTGACCCTTGTAGCCGATCTTGTCCTTATACTGCGCCGCCATGCGGTACAGCTGCGCCATGTGCGACATGTCCCGGAAGAACTGACGCTGGAGGACGCTCTGGTAGCCGTCACGAGGATTGAAGAACACGAAGTTCTCAGCTCCCAGGCGCTTGGCCGCCTCCAGACTGCGCTTCACCTGTGCACATGCGTAGGCGAACACGTGCGCATCGGGGTTGGCGCCTGCACCGTTCATATAGCGAGGGTGAGTGAAGAGGTCGGCACTGTAGTAGAGGGGCTTGATCCCTGTCTGCCTCTGTAGGTCAGCAGCTAGAGTCACCATCTCCTCCAGGTAGCTGTTGGTCTCCTCGAAGCTGTCTCCCTCGGGGGCCATGTCGCGGTCACTCACCTGGTAGACGAACAATACAAAATATTATTACAAGATCATAATAACGTTAATGGCCGACCAAATTCTCAAATGTAATTAAAATGAAACTGGTTAAAAAATGATTTTTTTAATTTAATAATAATAATTCCAATAATAATAATAATTCCAATAAACTAATTAGAAACAATTCATTGAAAATAAAGAAAATCACTCGGCCTATTAGGCAATTCGGGCCTTGCATAGTAGGCCAAGAAGTGCGTTCTGGCTACTAGGTACGACATATATATATTCAAAAGCCTCTTGCGAGTGGTCAAATCTTACACACGCGGTTTCGACAAACTCTTTTTGTAATTGTCAAACCCGTATATAACGTTAACTTAGAATGTATCGTAGCATAGGTTTGGCTTAACTGGGATAATATGGTTTTGATTAGGTTAGGTTATGAGAGGTTAAGTTAGGAAGGTCTTAAAATCCGTTGGCGAACCGTCTTTGTGTACGATGTGACTCGTAGAGGCGTAAGGCGAGCTTGATGCTACGGCACCCCATGAGGGAGGTAGAGGGACTGGCCGCCAAAGACTAGACTGTTTTCAGTTAAGATTGTAAGATCTAGCTACAGGCACCCACCGAGTAGTACTTGACCGTCAGCTTGTGGAGGAGCTCGAAGGCCGCGATCATGCGACGCTTGTAGTTGTCGAGGGAGTGCGAGGCGTCCTCCCAGGCCCTCTGGTGAGCCCGCTCACCATAGTGGTTGTCCGCTCCAAGGTACCTGTTGGCGATAATGAAAATAATGAATTTAGGATTTTTTCCCCTCTAGCGCGCCCGTCCTTTCGGCAAACCAACAAGCCCTAGAACATCTTGCGGACAACACTTTAGATTCCAACATGACAGTTTGGCCATAAGCTCAAGAAAAGACAACAGGGACATACACTTTTTTCAGACACTAAGAGTCCTAACAGGTTAGGCTCTTTCAGCAAACGATCGCTCCAACAGTATGAGACTCATTCCAGCTGTAGGAGTCCATGGCAATTCCCAGAGTCATTTAAAAGCTTTGTGTATATGAAAGATATAACCATATCTGTCAAATATTTTGGGTCAATAATCTTTAATAGCCTTTAATGACATATTAAAATTGCCTTCAATGGACACCAATGCACCACAAGTAATGATCACCAACACCTCCCGCTTGAGTTAATAAGTCAATATTGACTATACGAATTTGCGAGAACGGGTTGCGAAGTGACTATACTGGTCAAGCTGTTGCTTCAGTACAGAATGTAGTCTTTTTTATTTAGAAGTTTGGCAAACCCACGAACTTGAAATTAGGAAAACAATTCAGAATAAACTAAGGTGTTTTTCCTGTCTAAATATGTTCTAATGGTTTACGGATTGCGAACGTGATAATTTGAATTTTTAATAATCTGTTTAAGTGCCCTTCAAATGGCAATGCACAAATTAAGTATATATCCAGATTTGTTTTTTATTTATCAAGAGTTCTTACATTCTTGTACAGCCACCAGCACGCATAACGTTTCGGGCAGATCCTTAATCCTAATTTTCCCTGGAATACGACCCGCCAAATCGCTTAACAACCAAGTACCCATCGCGAAGCGCTGTGCGAGTGTCTTACCACTGCGCCACGGGGACCGCTTTAAAAAGAATTTGTAATAGAAGAAAATCTGCAACTAACATACCAAAATCCATGACATGTTCGGTACACAAAACAGTGCCCACACTCTCTCGTTGTGACAGACAGATCCACCGCTGCACTCTACAGCAGTGAAACACCTTGTACATGTACAGGTTGCAGTTAATTCCTCCCTAGCTTTTGCACTAGCTTCCAAGTTCCCTATGACGATATCTTCACTCTTTTTTTAACTCCAGTTTCTTCACTTCTATGATGGCGGTTCGATTCGGGTTCAGGCGGTATTCACTATGAAATAGACCGTCATCTCCCTCTTTACACCTTTCAGTGTTTGCGGCGTATCTATAAACTGTATTTAGGAGACGACAGCGGTACACGAGGACTGGCTCGAGGTAGCTGCTGTTCTCATTAGGAGACCCGGTACTCAAGGGACTACTACTGAAGAGTTTCACCCCATTGCCCTGACGAATTATGTCTACATACTTTTTGAACGTATAGTTAATGTATGTCTTATGTCGTCCTTAGAACATCATCACTACCTTTCCCCATCTCAATTTGGCTTTTCCAAGTGTTGCAGCATGCCCAGTATTTTTGTGGACTAAGAGATCTATATTCATGCTACTTTCATTTCAGCGAATATCTCCGTTCTAATCGTTCTTTTTGACCAAAAAGAAAGGCTTATGACACCACCTGGAGATCATATATTTTGGCCCAACTGCATTCGTTTTGCCTTCGTGGCAATCCCCCTATTTTATACTTTAAAGTGTCCTGTCTGGTGGTTTGTTTAAAGTGAGGTTGATGCTGTTGGCTGAGGGAGCGACGACAATCGAGAGATCGGATGCACCCGATGAGACGTTCATATAAAAAAATGGGTTGGCACTGCTTTCACTGACTATTGAACAATATGAAGGTGTTCCCCCCAAGGTAGTGTTCTGAGCAATACTCTTTTTCCTGGTTGCATTACATGATCTTCCTCCCTCCCTCCTGCAATTTACCTAAGTCCTTTATGTTGACGATCTTACACAGCTGTCGCGGTGACGACGTTTATCCTCCATCACCAGCTCCTGCCTGCGATTGGTTACGCGTCGTCTTGGGCCACCAATCTTGATTTCAGGTTCTCTCCTTGTGCTATGACGTTTACTCGGAGGCCTTCTTATCTTGAGGTTATCTTGATATGATTTTGGGGCTTAGCGTCCCCGCGGCCCGGTCCTCGACCAGGTCTCCTTTTTGTTACACATCCCCAGGAAGCAGCCCGTAGCAGCTGTCTAACTCTCTGGTGCCCTTTTACTGCTAGGTAACAGGAGCATCAGGGTGAAAGAAACGTTTTGCCCATTTGTCTCCGCCTCCACCGGGGATCGAACCCGGAACCTCAGCACTACGAATCCGAAGCGCTGTCCACCCAGCAGTCAGGCGCCCTGTCGTTCCTCATTCTCCATTGTGAGAATGGAGGATAATGCTAAACTCTTAGGGTTTGATCCTTGACCCAAGGTCATGGTTACTGACCCCTGAGGAGGGGCCCTGTTCCCTCTCACCACCTTCCTTTCCCCTGCAACAATGGAGGGGCCCCAGTGTGAGGAATATTACAAGGCACTGACCCATACGGTGACGGCTTGTACCTCCTTAACAGCTTTTTCTTTGCCAATTTTTCCTCTCACTCACACTGTATTGTTGTGTTCACAGATGAACCTGAGACTTCCGTCGGTGTTGATTATTCTCTCTTGATCACGCCTGTATGTGTCGCCTGCCCCCGGAGACTGGCACCTTGACGCCAGAGCTCTAATGCAGTTTTGTATGTTCTTTATATTCTCCCGTTGAGTCTCCATATTCTGCTCTTTGGCAGGCTCAACGATGCGCTTTGGCCTGCTCTGGGGAACGACGTCCGCCACTGCCCCCCGAATGAGAAGGCAGGAGGCAAACCGGGAGTCCCCCTAATATTTGAAAAACGTTCAACTTGAAAAATCAACTTCGTCAGCTAATTTATAGGCGTCAACGTTGCCTTACAACTGTGGTTGACTCCCGCAGTGTCCTCGTGGCTCTGAAGCCTAACTCTTTGATTCCTTCGGCGGCTGAAATCCAATACCAACCTGTCCTCTTATCAATCACGTCTGAATTTGGCCGTTTGCTTGTATACTCGAAAATTAACGTAATTTAAAAATTACAAATATTTGAAAATTAATTTTGGATTTTTTGTTTTATAAAGCAGCAAGTTAAGGTTCCTCTGGTAGGTTAGGAGGGCAGGAAGTTCTCCTAAGGATTCAAAACGTCATGAAAAACCGTTAATTGAAAGTTTCCTCTCCTAACCTAACCGAGTAAGCCGGAGGACTCAAAACAGAAAATGGGACAGTACGTCACTTTCGTGAGCCGATTTCATTTCAATTTACGTCCATTTTTGGTCATACGGGCAAACGAGCGTCACTCACCAAGGGTAAGAACCTATCACTCACCAAGCTAAGGCCCTGTCTCTCACCAAGGGGAAGGCCTGCCACTCACTAAGGAGAGGACCATTCACTCATCATTTGGAGGGCCTGCCACTCACCAAGGGGAGGGCCTGTCACTCACCAAGGGGAGGGTCTGTCACTCACCAAGAGGAGAGCCTGTCACTCACCAAGGGGAGGGTCTGTCACTCACCAAGGGGAGGGCCTGTCACTAACCAAGGAGAAAGCCTGCCACTCACCAAGGGAAGGGCCTGTCACTCACAAAGGAGAGGGTCTGCCACTCACCAAGGGGAGGGCCTGCCACTCACCAAGGAGAGGGCCTGCCACTCACAAAGGGGAGGGCCTGCCACTCACCAAGAGGAGGGCCTGTCACTCACCAAGGGGAGGGCCTGTCACTCACCAAAGGAAGGACCTACCACTCACCAAGGGGAAGGCCTGCCACTCACCAAGGGGGAGGGCCTGCCACTCACCAAGGAGTGGGCCTGCCACTCACCAAGGGAAGGACCTACCACTCACCAAGGGGAGGGCCTGCCACTCACCAAGGGGGAGGGCCTGCCACTCACCAAGGGGAGGACCTGTCACTCACCAAGGGGAGGGCCTGTCACTCACAAAGGGAAGGACCTACCACTCACCAAGGGGAGGGCCTGCCACTCACCAAGGTGAGAGTCTGCCACTCACCAAGGGAAGGACCTACCACTCACCAAGGGGAGAGCCTACCACTCACCAAGGGAAGGGACTGCCACTCACCAAGGGAAGGACCTACCACTCACCAAGGGGAGAGCCTTCCACTCACCAAGGGGAGGGCCTGCCACTCATCAAGGGAAAGGACTGTCACTCATCAAGGGAAAGGACTGTCACTCACCAAGGGGAGAGCCTGCCACTCACCAAGGGGAGGGCCTGCCACTCACCAAGGGAAAGGACTGTCACTCATCAAGGGAAAGGACTGTCACTCACCAAGGGGAGAGCCTGCCACTCACCAAGGGGAGGGCCTGCCACTCACCAAGGGGAGGGCCTGGCACTCACCAAGGGGAGGGCCTGGCACTCACCAAGGGGAGGGCCTGCCACTCACCAAGGGAAGGGCCTACCACTCACCAAGGGGAGGGCCTGCCACTCACCAAGGGGAGGGCCTGCCACTCACCAAGGGGAAGGGCCTGCCACTCACCAAGGGGAAGGGCCTGTCACTCACCAAGGGAAGGACCTACCACTCACCAAGGGGAGGACCTAACACTCACCAAGGGGAGGACCTACCACTCACCAAGGGGAGGGTCTTCCACTCACCAAGGGGAGGGCCTGCCACTCATCAAGGGAAAGGACTGTCACTCACCAAGGGGAGGACCTGGCACTCACCAAAGGGAGGGTCTTTCACTCACCAAGGGGAGGGTGTCTCACTCACCAAGGGGAGGGCCTGGCACTCACTAAGGGGAGGGCCTGCCACTCACCAAGGGGAGGGCCTGGCACTCACTAAGGGGAGGGCCTGCCACTCACCAAAGGGAGGGCCTGTCACTCACCAAGGGGTGGGCCTGGCACTCACCAAGGGGAGGGCCTGCCACTCACCAAGGGGAGGGCCTGCCACTCACCAAGGGGAGGGCCTGGCACTCACTAAGGGGAGGGCCTGCCACTCACCAAAGGGAGGGCCTGTCACTCACCAAGGGGTGGGCCTGGCACTCACCAAGGGGAGGGCCTGCCACTCACCAAGGGGAGGGCCTGCCACTCACCAAAGGGAGGGCCTGCCACTCACCAAGGGGTGGGCCTGGCACTCACCAAGGGGAGGGCCTGCCACTCACCAAGGGGAGGGCCTGCCACTCACCAAGAGGAAGACCTGTCACTCACCTGAAGGTGTTGAAGTAGCAGACGGAGAAGCGGAGCCACTCCTCCATGGAGCGGCCATGGACGGTCTCGCCGGCGTTGTAGTGCCGGAAGACCAGAGTGTCCTCGGGGCCAGCATCCGGCCGGTACTCCACCCGCCCGATACCTGGGAAGTACTTGTTCATGCTGACGGACGCCGTGGTGACTGACGAAGGCTGCTGACGGAGGAGGACGGTGACGGCGGCGGCACACGTAGGCGGGAGGTGACGACAGAAGCGACAGGTCGGGGGCAGCTTGGGGGAAGGAAGGCGGCTCCCGGGTCTTATATATACCGACACGCCCGCGCGCCCGCCCGCCTTGGGGTCGCGTGACACCCGACACCAGCTTCGACACACCTCGCAGCCCGCCTCCCGCTTCCCCTGCCTCAACCCTGTATATGACACCCCGTCTTCTATATAATATATTAACCCCCCCTGGTGTACACACATGTATAGATAAACAGAGCCATATAATGGGCTCAGGGACTGAAACCAACAATTCATTTAGCTAAGCAAGTTACAATCTTGATGCGCTAGTTACAAAATTCAATATAAGTCGTCACATCAACAATGGGTTCGAGATCGACCTCAGGTACAGGTTCTAAATTAAGCAACTGACATATGTGGAGAGCTAGTGTCACAATTGATATGTTTGTCCTGCACACCGCCCCCCATCCAGTGGGCAGCGGTAGATAGGTTACAATCACTCAGTTACTACCTACAGTTAGCAAATTGGGGATATTTGGCTAAAATTTCTGGTAGCAGATCATTTTGAATGAAATATTTACACATCGTTGGTTCATGAGTTATAGAATTGTCTTAAATTCACGTATCTTTTCGCACTCCATCACATAGTAACGGAGGGTGTGCGAATAATTTTGTTGACACAGTTAACATTTGGTCAGGTCTACATGAGCAGATAATGAAAATTCCTAGAGATACTTGTAACCGAGTCTAAGCCGAGCAGTAGTAACATCTAGAAGTCTGCTGATTTTATTGGGTGATCCATAGAGGTGTGGCTCCTCTTGCATGATAGTATGATGATAGATGGAATTACTGATGTCGATTTCACTTTGCCTCAGATCTACAAGATTTTGTTGAAGTTCTCGGTGTACTGCTGCTCTCAGGTTGCTCATTGACAATCCAAGGTTACACAACGTCTCCTTTAAAGGCAGATTCTTTGGCTAACTCATCAGCTCTATCATGCATTCGGAGGCCAACATGAGGAAAGGAAATGGGGAAATCCAAATAGGGGAAGTGGAGGACCCCAAAAAGCATAGTGCTGTTGGAGAGGCAAGAGAAAACGATGATAGCTTTGGGACGACAAAGAAAACAATAGAAAACGTTAAGTTTTAGGAAACAAAGAAAACGATGTAAGAGGGAAGACAAAAGAAAACAACGTAGTTAGGGCTGACTACAGGAAACAAAGCAGACGTCTGCTTTGTTTTCTACTAGTTTTCATTGCATCAAAGTGTCTTCTCTACTTGTATATACAGTTGCTGTTTTACATTTAGAAGGTTGTAACAGAACCCATGGGCACCACACTAGAAACAAATACCTATTTGATATGCCAAGAGTACGACTTAAACTAGAAATGCTTTACAAACCAAGGGACCAAGAGTGTGGAATGACCTTCCCAATCATGTCAAAGGCTGTATCTCTCTCAACCAGTTTAAGAGTAAAACTAGGCACTACCTAATTAACTCCATGTAACCTACCTTACCCCTAAATGTCAACCCATGTCTTGCTATTTTAAACAATGCTGTTTGTTGACCAAATTGTATAATTGCTATTATCTGCCATATTCCACCCCCCTTTTTTATTCCCTTTAACACAATTTATACTTTTAGCTCAATTACTATTAACTTTTATGCTAAGTGTTTTTCCCCCTCCCCCACACCTTGCCCGAAACGCTATGCGTACTAGTGGCTTTAGGTATTGTATGTACTAGCTCTATCTTTAAATCCAACATTATGTTTGTATCTCATCATCAATGTATACACCTTTACCTGAATACAAAATATAAATCTATTTGCAGTGTCGAGCAGGTCACTAGGTGTATTTGATACAGTTTGTAGCAGCTAGAGCCACATATATACACTTTGCGACACAGGGAAACATACACCGTCCTGGTTCTCGGTGTATATTCACTGGGAGTTTACTTTCATCCTTGACAATGTTTAGGATTAAGGTATACTTGGTTGTTGGTTAGTAAGGTGGTGTGGTGGTCTTAAAAACCCTCCAGAGGTTGATAGGTCTTAATAACCCTCCAGAGGTTGATAGGTCTTAATAACCCTCCAGAGGTTGATAGGTCTTAATAACCCTCCAGAGGTTGATAGGTCTTAATAACCCTCCAGAGGTTGATAGGTCTTAAAAACCCTCCAGAGGTTGATAGGTCTTAATAACCCTCCAGAGGTTGATAGATCTTAATAACCCTCCAGAGGTTGATAGGTCTTAATAACCCTCCAGAGGTTGATAGATCTTAATAACCCTCCAGAGGTTGATAGGTCTTAATAACCCTCCAGAGGTTGATAGATCTTAATAACCCTCCAGAGGTTGATAGGTCTTAATAACCCTTCAGAGGTTGATAGATCTTAATAACCCTCCAGAGGTTGATAGGTCTTAATAACCCTCCAGAGGTTGATAGGTCTTAATAACCCTCCAGAGGTTGATAGGTCTTAATAACCCTCCAGAGGTTGATAGGTTTTAATAACCCTCCAGAGGTTGATAGATCTTAATAACCCACCAGAGGTTGATAGATCTTAATAACCCACCAGAGGTTGATAGATCTTAATAACCCACCAGAGGTTGATAGATCTTAATAACCCACCAGAGGTTGATAGCTCTTAATAACCCTCCAGAGGTTGATAGGCCTTAATAACCCTCCAGAGGTTGATAGGGCTTAATAATCCTCCAGAGGCTGATAGATCTTAATAACCCTCCAGAGGTTGATAGGGCTTAATAACCCTCCAGAGGTTGATAGATCTTAATAACCCTCCAGAGGTTGATAGATCTTAATAACCCACCAGAGGTTGATAGGCCTTAATAACCCTCCAGAGGTTGATAGGCCTTAATAACCCTCCAGAGGTTGATAGGGCTTAATAACCCTCCAGAGGCTGATAGACCTTAATAACCCTCCAGAGGTTGATAGATCTTAATAACCCACCAGAGGTTGATAGGGCTTAATAACCCTCTAGAGGTTGATAGGTCTTAATAAACCTCCAGAGGTTGATAGATCTTAATAACCCTCCAGAGGTTGATAGATCTTAATAACCCTCCAGAGGTTGATAGATCTTAATAACCCACCAGAGGTTGATAGGCCTTAATAACCCTCCAGAGGTTGATAGGCCTTAATAACCCTCCAGAGGTTGATAGGGCTTAATAACCCTCCAGAGGTTGATAGATCTTAATAACCCTCCAGAGGTTGATAGATCTTAATAACCCACCAGAGGTTGATAGGGCTTAATAACCCTCTAGAGGTTGATAGGCCTTAATAACCCTCCAGAGGTTGATAGGTCTTAATAACCCTCCAGAGGTTGATAGGCCTTAATAACCCTCCAGAGGTTGATAGGGCTTAATAACCCTCCAGAGGTTGATAGGCCTTAATAACCCTCCAGAGGTTGATATGCCTTAATAACCCTCCAGAGGTTGATAGGGGTTAATAACGCTCTAGAGGTTGATAGGCCTTATTAACCCTCCAGAGATTGATAGGCCTTAATAGCCCTCCAGAGGTTGATAGGCCTTAATAACCCTCCAGCGGTTGATAGGCCTTAATAACCCTCCAGAGGTTGATAGGCCTTAATAACCTTCCAGAGGTTGATAGGGGTTAATTACCCTCTAGAGGTTGATAGGCCTTAATAACCCTCCAGAGGTTGATAGGCCTTAATAACCCTCCAGAGGTTGATAGGGGTTAATAACCCTCCAGAGGTTGATAGGCCTTAATAACCCTCCAGAGGTTGATAGGTCTTAATAACCCTCTAGAGGTTAATAGGTCTTAATAACCCTCCAGAGGTTGATAGATCTTAATAACCCTCGAGAGGTTGATAGGCCTTAATAACCCTCCAGAGGTTGATAGGACTTAATAACCCGTCAGAGGTTGATAGGCCTTATTAACCCTCCAGAGGTTGATAGGCCTTAGTAACCATCCAGAGGTTGATAGGTCTTAATAACCCTCTAGAGGTTAATAGGTCTTAATAACCCTCCAGAGGTTGATAGATCTTAATAACCCTCGAGAGGTTGATAGGTCATAAAAACCCTCCAGAGGTTGATAGGACTTAATAACCCGTCAGAGGTTGATAGGCCTTATTAACCCTCCAGAGGTTGATAGGCCTTAGTAACCATCCAGAGGTTGATAGGCCTTAATAACCCTCCAGAGGTTGATAGGCCTTAATAGCCCTCCAGAGGTTGATAGGCCTTAATAACCCTCCAGAGGTTGATAGGTCATAATAACCGTCCAGAGGTTTATAGGCCTTAATAACCCTCCAGAGGTTGATAGGCCTTAATAACCCTCCAAAGGTTGATAGGCCTTAATAACCCTCCAGAGGTTGATAGGCCTTAATATTCCTTCAGAGGTTAATAGGGCATAATTACTCTCCAGAGGTTAATAGGCCTTAATAACCCTCCAGAGGTTGATAGGCCTTAATAACCCTCCAGAGGTTGATAGGCCTTAATAACCGTCCAGAGGTTGATAGGCCTTAATAACCCTCCAGAGGTTGATAGGCCTTAATAACCGTCCAGAGGTTGATAGGCCTTAATAACCCTCCAGAGGTTGATAGGCCTTAATATTCCTTCAGAGGTTGATAGGGCATAATTACTCTCCAGGGGTTAATAAGCCTTAATAACCCCTCCAGAGGCTGATTGGCCTTAATAACCCTCTAGAGGTTAAAGGCCATAATAACCCTCCAGAGGTTGATAGGCCATAATAACCCTCCAGAGGTTGATAGACCTTAATAACCCTCCAGAGGGTGATAAGCCCCAATAACCCTTAAGAAGTGGATAGGCCTTAAACCCAACAATATATCAAAGTGCTTTATTTTCTGTATCGTTATTTTCTGTTAAATAAATAAATAAATAAATTAATAAATACCCCCAACACTCATATAGTTTAGCACATTACAGAATCGATGAGCTGGTAACGGTTTGTTACCATATTCAAATTCAAATTTGAATTCAAATGTTTCAAACTCTAACTCTATCAATCTATACATCTAGTACTCTGTTTCCTGTTTGTTACTTTAGCCCAGTTACCAAATTAAAG